CCCCAGCTCCCAAGTAATGCCAGCCACAATACTGTGAATTCCTCAGGGTGGTGCCGGTCTCATCCTCTTATCTCTCCCTTGCGCCTCCAGAGATGAAAGAAAATGTTTTTCTCCCTGAGCCTGGCCTTCATAATTCCATTCCATGACAGGCACGGAGTTTAGTCACATCAGAACAATTCTAACCTACTCAGCCAGAGGCAGCTGACTACACCAATGGAGCACAACTGTAGCAATACGCTACTCGGGCAGCAGAGCAGGATAGCCAGATTCCACTCCTTTCCTTGTGCATGTTTCCACAGCAGTTAACCATGTATATCACCGCTGCTCTCCTCTCGGGGTAAAAGGAAAGCTCCCAATGTTTGTGTGCAATTTTGCTACATAAAGATCACATCCTGAAGTCTCTAATTTATAGAAGCAGATGTGCAGTTTTCATTCATTTCAAACATTCCACAGAAGTTCCCACTCCCCTCCTTTCTGTTTTATAGGTTTGCAGCAAGACAATAATGGGCTGCTGATACCCACAGCTCTTGGCTCTTGGCCATTAACGCTGAGATGCCCCAAACCTCTCGCCTCAATGCTGGGGGAGCGTGAACGGTTGCTGCCAGCCACGGAATCTGAAACTGAAATAGCCAGGTGATATCAGGGCGAAACTCAAGATTCCGAATTTAAAAGCAACGGAATAATCCAAGAGGCAGACGAATGAATGGGAGAGCCTCTCCTATTTTGTCCGAACGGGTCATGCCAGAATATACGGGGTTGCTTTTTTCGCCCTGCCTGCGCGCGTTTCCTTTTCGTTTTGTTAGCAAACTCCCCGCTGGAACCGGTTCAGCAGCTTCTGGTGACGCGCGACCCACTGCCGGTTACCTGAGCTGGCCACGTGAGCGCCACATCATCGGGGCTTTTGATACTGAAAGTCATCGAAAGAAGGAAACAGGAAAAGAGCGAGGCAAAGCCCTGTCCGAGGCGGCGGAGAGAGGCACCTTGGCAGTCGGGGCGGGGGCGCACCGAGGCTGAGGGCGCGTGGCCCAGCGCTGCGAGAGCCTCCGGAGCCAGCCAGCCGCCCTCCCCGGCCTTCCCTCCTGCCTCAGCGCTTTTCGAAGGCCCAGGTTCCCGCGCTGAGCGGCCCGGGTCACTCAGGGACACGAGTCTTCCGCGAGCTCGGGGCACGGCAGCAGCGGTGGCGGGCTGGCGCTGGGAAGGACTGCGCGGCGCTGGCGGGGGAAGATGCTGCAGTCGCTAGCGGGCAGCTCGTGCGTGCGGCTGGTGGAGAGGCATCGCTCCGCCTGGTGTTTCGGCTTGCTGGTGCTGGGCTACCTGCTGTACCTGGTCTTCGGCGCCGTGGTCTTCTCGTCGGTCGAGCTGCCCTACGAAGACCTGCTGCGCCAGGAACTGCGCAAACTGAAGCAGCGCTTCGTGGAGGAGCACCAGTGCCTCTCCGAGCAGCAGCTCGAGAGCTTCTTGGCGCGCGTCCTGCAGGCCAGCAACTACGGCGTCTCGGTGCTGAGCAACGCTTCGGGCAGCTGGAACTGGGACTTCACCTCGGCGCTTTTCTTCGCCAGCACGGTGCTCTCCACCACAGGTAAGCAGGCGGCAGCGCGGGCCTTAGCCCGGGCCTGGCCTTTGTTTTGGGAGGCTGCTTCTCCTTTCCTAGGCCAGCCGGGGCCTGCCAAGCCGCGCGGAAGGGTTGAGTCCCCAACGGTGGGAGAAAGTGGCGGCAGCTGCGGGAGGGGCTTTCCCCCCTCTTCCCAACGGAGAAAAAGGTCGCCCCGCTGGGAAAAGAAGAAGGCAGAAACTGTGCTTCTTGTAGGATTGCACCCCGGCTGCTTGCTTCGGAAAGAAAGTGGTTACGCTCACACAACACGCTTAACACAGTTACTGAAATACACGTCTGGATTCGTTCAATGCACTGAACCATAAAATGCCTAAACAGGCTGTGTTTACACAATGTGCCACAAAAAAAGTGTAACCAAGGTTAACACTTAGCTACCCAAGCTTTGCTGGTGGGGGGCACAAATGCAGCCGCTAAATCTTTACTTGACCTGGTTGCGCTAGCTCTATGGACACAGCCAGTGTTTTTCCCTCTTGCCCCTTTATCCCCTTCAGGCAACCCCACTTTTGCCCCAGTCCTCGGCTCCCTCTTGGTCTCTGCATGCAGGAGTCCACTGGCCCTTTCAGAACAGAGGGGATTCGGTTTTCAGTACCTGGGAGGCAAGTACTCACATCTATTGTGAAGTGGTAATAAAACTGCAAAGTTTCCTCTTTTTTTCCCATCATCACATCATCTCGAGCTCCCATCCCCTTCCCCCAGTGAATGGGTCCAACACCTCTTTCTTTAGTAATAAAACGCTGGGACAGGTTCCCACTTGCAATATAAGAAAGAAGCAAGCCCAAGGAAGAAAGAATCCTAGCTGATTCTTCATACCTGACGTTTCAGCTGGATTTTATTGCACTGCGTAAGTGCAATAAAGACTGTTCATTTAGTTTTAAAAATGGGAAACATATACAAATGCACAGTCTGAGAACACACCTTTTCACCAATGCCATGACAATGGGTTTTTGCTTAACTGTGTTTGTAGGATCATAAACAGTCTTAAATATTCCCAGTGAGAACCTGCTTCTAAATGAATATGCGTTCACTTTTAAGCTGAAGTCACACATGGTGCTAAATCATTATGCTTAGCTTTGGCTAGTTTGTTGTTTGAATCCAAATACTTATATATATTGATTATTAGATTTATATTTATATCCCACTTTTGTATCCCACTTTTCATACAAGAGTTCAAGCTGGCATACGTAGCCTTCCTCCTACTTTTCCCTGCATCAACATCCTTGTGAAGTAGGTTAGGCTGAGAGAAAGTGGCTGGCTGAGCGGGGCGCTTGAACCTGAGTGTGTCTGCTCCTGCTGATAAATGTATTAAGTGTCAGCCAAGTTGATGACTTCTGGCCATAATAGTCTTCATCGAACCAGGCTGCTCTGGCTTGTTTTAACAGTCTGAGCTTAAAACAAGCCATAGCTTAATGTGTGACGTCTTTGTTGCATTCATGAAAATCCTCTTGTACTATCAGCACTGTAAAGGATTAATACAAAGATCTATACATTTCCTGCAAAAATTATTTTTAAAAAATGAAGTTCAGATTAGTGAAAATGTTATTTTGTTATTGTTTTGATAATGAATCGTGTCTGCTTTTTGGCTAACTTTAATAGCATGTCTGGTGAACATAACCTTATGGAATGCAGCCATCCAAGATCATCATCATCAACCAGTTCAGCAGCCATCAAATTTGTCATCCATTATGGTTTGCCTAGAGAAATGTGGCAAAACATTATGTGTAACAACAGAGAAACTGCTGGGTTATCTTTAGTTAAAATGCCTTTTTAACCAATACAACTTGAAAATTAAGAAGTTTTTCAAGTCTTCTCAAATGCAGGAAGCACATCCCATTGCTAAAGAGAAGGTCGAGAGGATGCAAGTTTGTTGCTGTATTTCTTTTTCTTTTCAAACAAGGTGACCTGATAAGGACAAGACAGTATTATATTTCCTGATACAATGGAAAAAAATGTTTGCTCATCATGTATGACTGAGAAGGGGAAAGCAAACCCATAACTAATTCATCATTTAGCTTGTGTCTCTGCAGCTGATTTATTGTGTGCACAAATGTATGTCATCCTAAACCGTCCAGTTAAGTTTGACTCCTTAATGCTTCATCTACATTTTTTCCTTAGTTCTAAATAAAGATCCTTTTAATGGATAGCATAAAAAAACTTTAGAAGTCTTGCTGATTTAACTGTTACAACTGCATAAAGGTAGTGTGAGGTACTGTCAATCTGATACTCAATATCATGTTCCCATATTCTGATCAGTTTAGATGACATGGATGATAGTGAAAAATGTGTATTAACTATTGTATATAAAGCCCAAATTGTTTTCAAAGCTAACCTTTGATACTGAAAATTGCCATGGTATTATGTGTCCTTTGGAAGGTGATATTTTTGATGGACAGGTTTTATGTTATTAGGATTGTGTGTGCTCCAAAAAAGATACAGAATTCAGAAGAAGTGTTTCAGACTTGCATAAACAACTACAGCTATTAAACCAGCCACAACTTTTTTTTCAACCTTGAAAATAGATATGCTACTTTAATGCATAGCAGAAAGACCCTATGCTCATGAAAGATCTAAAGTTCTTCCCAATCATTTTTGAAGCATGCACAATCTTAGTTTAGGCCTAATATATTTGATTCCAAAAATCCAGATGGCCACAGAATGGCAGAAAAGAATTAACATTGTCTGCCTACAAGAGATTGTCCAGAATTTTTCCATTCCACATATACAGTATTAGGTCTTACTATTTAAAGCTTATCGCTTTCAGTTTTAGTCATTTCTTTCCAAATGAATATCCCATTGTAATTTAAGATATCCCAGGATTAGTTTAGTTTGTTGCAATGTTTTTTAAAGGAGCATAGATAGTCCTTGCTTACTTATGGTAATTGGGACCAGGAACTCCATCACTAAGCAACATGGTCATAAAGCACGACATCATGTGACTGCACCGACATATGACAGCAGTTCTGGCAGTCCCAGTTGCCATTGTTAGGTGAATCCCATGTAGTTGCTGGGTCACATGATCACCATTTGTGACTTCTTACTGGCTTCCCCATTGACTTTGCTTGTTGGAAATAGGCAGTGAAGGTCGCAAATGGTGATCACATGACCGCAGGATGCTGAGACATCATAATTGTGAGAAGGTTGCCAAGCACCTGAATCGCAATTGTGGGGATGCTGCGATGGCCGCAACTACGAGGACTGATTATAAGTCCCCCTCATTCAGTGCTGTTGTAACTTTGAACAGTTGCTGAACAAATGGTGATTAAATGAGAACTACCTGTATAACATTTTTAATGTGGGAATGCTACTAAGGGAGAACATGTTCTCAGTTTTACTAATTGAATTCACATTGCTTTTGTTCCTAATTATCAGGTAGAAGTGAGACTTAGAATAAAATATTGCAGTGTTCTTTCTTTCCCGGAGGAGTTGCTCTTGCTTAGGTTTCCAACTAACATGGAACAAAAATCTGGTAGCTCTATCCTAGTCTCAAAGAGGTTCAAGAAGAAGAAGAAGAAGAAAACCATGTAATGAATGAAAACACTTAGCTGACCCTGTTTGATCTCTAAATGCTAAGCAGGGTTGGACTGGTTAGTATTTGCATAGGAAATGACTAGGAGATTCCAGACTTGTAGGCTAGCCTGGGAAGTTGAAAAAAATATCTTGGAAGGCAAAATACTTAACGTTATTATTGCCCAGAAAACTACAGGGGCATATTAATAGAGTCACCAGGAATCAAACTTGACTGGAGGGAGACTTAACCTTTAAAGACAACCATATCTCTGTATTGTTCCAGGAAGTAAATTCATTTCTCCAACACTAATCCCAGCAGATTTAGTATAAATTGCTAGTTTGTAGCAGATCACTTCCTTCTTCCTCTTTCCTCACTATTTTCTCAGTAGACACCTTTGAGAATTTCTGGAAGTTCACATATTATCCTTCCCAGGCTATTTTGGTTTTTTAGAAGTTTTCTAAAAACCAAGATAGCCTGGGAAGGATGATATGTGAACTTCCTCTGTCTCTCATCACACCTAAGATACCATCTTAGGGCAACATCATTCAATTTTAGAAGGTTGCATTTTTCCAAGAAATTTGAAGAAATTTTTATTTCAGGTTAATAGGCATTGGTGTAGTGGTGAAGGCACCAGGCTAGAAACCAGGAGACCATGAGTTCTAGTCCCACCTTAGGCACAAAGCCAGCTGGGTGACCTTGGGCCAGTCACTCACTCTCAGCCCCTAGGAGGAAGGCAATGGCAAACCACCTCCAAAATCTTGCCAAGAAAACTGCAGGGACTTGTCCAAGCAGTCACCGGAAGTCAACACCGATTAGAAGGCACCAAAAAAAAAAAAAGCATTGCACCACCTGGTTTTGCCATTACTATAGATGATGATGATGATGATGTCAATGACAGAATAATTTGAACTCAAAACACTGTTCAACAAACAAACTCAAAATTGTGACCCAAGAACATAGGCTTCTTGGTAGCCCAAAATGATTTAAGCTAATCATAGAATATTTCCACACCAGCATTTGATAATTTCACATTATTGTGATGATATAAAGTCCATCAGCATCAGAGATTTATGGCTGGATAAAACTATAAATGATTTGTGTAGAAAACCTCTGGATTTTATGTGATGTGAGTGAACTTTTCTCATGCAGTAGAAGCTTACCTTCCCATGCTGCCTCATCCTCCACATCTGCCCTTCAGGGTCCCTCAACTTTCCGGAGCAGATTTGGGAGACACATCACAGGAAATTTTATCTGCCTGTAGTAGTATCCATTCCTCTGATGGAAGCAGCTTTTCAGTAGGGGGTTTTTGTGGCAGGGCATTTTAATGCCTATTAAAAGTGGGGTGTGGAGCAGAATGGATTTCAGCTTTAAGGACAAGAAACATCTAGCTATGATGATTTCTGGTGGGAGTAATGTATGTAATATATACAACAGGGTTAGATTCTAGCAAACTAAGAAAAAA